ACCTACATTCGATAAATCAGCCATCTGGTTGTTACCACACGCAGCTTCGGACATGACTACATTTTAAGAACTGTCTACTTTTGTGTGCGAAAGATAAAAGCAAGCCAGGAAGGGTTGTGCTTTTCCTGCCGCAGTACCTTAATCTATTCACAACTTGCTTTATGTATGGGCCATCTTTCGTAAATGGGTAGGGGTAGTTGCTTACCCAGCCCTCGTCGCTCCTCGATGTTCTCTTTCAACACATTGGCCTTGGTGGATGTGTTGAACTACGTTTATTCGATCTTGCGCAATATTTTAAAAAATTCATTTGACCCATGTGTGACAAAAAAAATCGGTGGTCTCAGCGATATTTAAATCCAAGGCGACAAGGAGAAGGCAACAAGGAGAAAAAGTCAACGCTTCAATCCTCTTAGCTGCAAGGCCTCCGTCGGGAGGCGTCAGTTTAATCACACCTGGGTCAGTTTGCCCGCCCAGCCTTCTGCAGTGTATGGAATCCATCTATTCGGATGCAGTAAGTAGGCTGTACAAGCAGGCTTTCCTAAGCAAGTCAGCCTAGTAGTCATTCTGGCGGATTCTAGATGATTGCTTAGGAAATTCTGCTTGGGTAGTCAGCTTACTGTTCCGTATTGGTGGATTCCATACGAACGGTAAAGTTGAACGGGTAAAATCTATTCAAGTGGGACTAAACTCACGGTGCAAGGCGTGGCATTCGTAGTTCAACTGGTGGAGCTTTGGCTGCGTTAAGGCCTTCCCTACTATGCGGGTTCAAATCCTGCCGAATGCCACGAGTTTTTTTCATAATTGGGTCAACTAAATTAAGCGAATCTACCAAACCTCCTAAATAATTTACTAAGCAATCAATTTAGAATCCACCAGATGTCTACCAGGCAGTCGGTGGTCTGGGTAGATTTGAATACTTCATAGGTCGTAGCTGAAAGCCGATAGCGAGTTGGCTGTACTAAAGGCTTTCCCCTGCTGTAGTGGATTTGAATTCCACCGAAACCACTGATTTTTTCACAATTGGCTCAAATGAATTATTCAAATCTGTCCAATCCACCTGCTTTTTAAAAAATACCCAAGTTCCTTGTCACAAACATTAGTGTTCCGCTGGCGTCCGCCCTACCTGCATAAATGTTTTACCAAAACCAGTTAAAATTTACTCTATGACATTTATGTGGAACATAATCTTCTTCAATTTTCTGTTTTTTTCTGAAGTCGGTCCACTTACACGCGCCAATCGAAGACGCTGTACGCGCCCAGATCGATTCCTGCGAAGACCTCCTATCCGCTGTTGATTCTCTTGTGTCCCAGCACGACTTCATGGAGAAGCTGATGGCAGTTTTGGCTCAGTCTCAGGCAGTGGTATGTGCGCTATGCATTCACTTTAATCACGCCTGATCTTCCATTCTCACCTTGCCCCCTTTTATGCCTCGATTCCGTTTGACGCCTTTTTGGTGTGTGAGTGCCTCACAGTTGTGCTTTTCTTCTGTTTGCGGTAGGTCGACCAACCGGCACGCGTGCCTCGAGATGCGCATTTCACAGACTATCAAGCACGTATGTTGCGACTTGCCCGACACATGGAGCAACAAACACAATCAGCCCTTATTGTCTCCAGGCGAGCGGATGCCACCGCTGAGCTGCCACCGGTCGTGAACAATCTTGCTCAGGTTCGTTCAAGGTATACTTTTTATCACATAGTAGTCAATTATTTTAAGCAAACTTGCCAGAACGGCAGCTATTAAAATCCTCATCTCATCTTAATCCTTCCCCGTTCCCCCCCCCTCAAGGATTACGCGGAGCTATGTCTGGTGTGTCGCGACGCCAGTGAGACCCTGCCGGACGGCCGGCAGTCGGACCAGTTGAGGTCGGCTGTGAAGAATGTGGGTAATGCAACGCGGGCTCTCATCCAGTCGGCTACCACCGGCG